AATTTTCCCACTGACTTCCATAAGTTCTAATGCAGTGGAAGAATAAGGCCATATTTTAGGTAATGGTGTTTGTTTTAACCATGTTTCTAGGATATGAATATCACTATGCTCTGCATAAATAATCACATTGTACAATCTCATCTCCTCCCCTTTCTTTGCCATCCTCTTTCTCTTCTTTCCACGCCAGCCCATCAAATACATGTTAATTGCCCACTTCATATTATGTGGTCTCCTACAACATGCGTGAACCCCTTATGCTTAACAATCTGTCTCTCCTTGCATTTAGCTCAGACACTCTGGTCACCTTCCCCAGACCTGATGAAGAGCTCTGTGATGCTCAAAAACTGGTCCCTTCCACCAACAGGAGCTGGTCAATCAAAGTTATTACCTCACCTACTTTGTCTCCCTCCAAATACATAGACAGTTTTTCTGCCCCAATTATTGGAATACATTATATGGTGCTCAAAATAGCAGGACTGCCAGTCTTACAATATCTAGCGCACTTAAACTGGAAGGATTCCTATTCATTTCTTTCTCAAATAGTTGGAATTGTGCTAAAGTTTGCCCTAATCACCAGAGATCAGCAGCTCCAAATTTTTCTGCAACTTGTTGAATTGGGTGCCGTAAGGCTGTAATTACCCTAACCCTCTGAGGTACTCATACGGCTCCCATTACCATAGTATCTGAGGGTCTTGTGTTCTTTAATTAATTTATCCTAACAACACCCCTGTGGGGTGGATTGTCTATTATTGTCCCCACTTTACAGATGTGGAACTGTGGACACAGGGAGACTAAGGGACTGACTTGTTCATGTTTATGTAGGAAAAGGCTGAGACAGAGCAAGGAATTGAACCTCAGTCTCCTAAATCACAGGCTAGCAGCCTAACCACTAGACAATGTTTCCTCTCTACATTTATTTTGGTTTTCTACCTTAAAAAAAAACAAACTTTTAGGGTAAATTGTGGCCCAGTTGAAATCAAGGGGAGTTTTGCCATTGAATTTTGTGGGGCCACAATTTAACTCATTGTAATTTACTGGCGCTTTGATTAATGCAGTGCATTTAACTAGCAAATTGTCCAGCCTCCTGCTTTACTTGTACCTCTCTTCATTTGTTATAACTAGAGCTGGATGAAACTTTTTCATCAAAACCTTTTTTTTTTTTTTAAATGAAAAATGTCTCAATATCCTGAGTTTTCTGATTTAGTTTTTTCAGGGTGATTACTTGGGACTTATAAGCGTAATTGTCATTAACATTAAGCACTTTGAGAAGAAGAAGGCCATTGATTTTCATGCTAGGTTGCTTAATTAGGTGATTTATGTTCTGTCACTTGACTTGTTTGGGTCATATGGGTAAATCATTGAATTTTGGAAGTTTGGCTTTTTGGTTTTATATGTTTGAATGGTTTTCACTAGAGCCTTGGATAGGAACCGCTTGCAAATAAAGAAAACATTGGTTTTTTTTCTTTTACTGCTGCTGTTCCTTTAAAGTTTTACTGAAGTCAATGGAATAACAGGCTGAACTTGGGATGGTTGGCAGCACAGCAGATGGTATCTGCCAGATACTCCTGGTATATTTGGCAGCAGAAAAGAGTGATGAGTTAATATGTCTCATCCAGGGCTCAGTCCTGTTATTTAGGTATATATAGTCTTGCATTGGAGGTGATGTGAAACTGTATTTCCTCTAGAGGAATTCTGTCTCAGAATGCACAATTCTACCTGGTGCTTCCTCGCACCCAGGGTAAGTGAACCCTGTGCTACACTGTTATAGTGCATGAAAATACTCCCTGGAATAAACCCAACTAATTCTGATGGCCAGCACAGAAGGTGGGTCTGACACATGGCCCCGCCTCTACCTTCACCATCCTAATCCCCTTTGGAAGGTTTTGTGTCCCAGGGGACACATGGACAGAGTGTTTTTGGGACCATAATCTTGGTTTGGTATGATGTATACAAATTAATAGTCCTAGTCAGTGCCACATATAATAAAAAGTGCTTTGCTGAGCTCATTTTGTATTATCTTCGAGGTTGTGGACTTAGGGTGCTTGTTCGTTATTTTTATCTCAGGGATTCTGTTCATTTTAAGATCTGCAGTCTTTGTATGAACTCTCCAAGTCTAATGTCTTTGCTTACTTTCTGTCGAGGTTTTTTACAATTACACAAATATGTGTTTATCTCTTTCGCTGCTTCAGGCAGTTGTAAACTTCCAGGAGCCTCATGGATGCCTAATTTAAACAGTGTATAATGTTCTGAATATATCTGCATAGGTAATAGGGGACAGAATGCAGAAAAGATGTGATGGAATTTATAGGGAGAAAATGTCCTCTGGAAAAATGGGGACAGGGAATCAAGAAATGCACAGATTTCAGCTGCCTCTGACAAACTCGGTGTAAAGTCATTCACAAACTGTACATTACCTTGGCAGTGGGGAGTGGGTTGGTTGCCAGGGGTTTGCTCTCTATATCTTAGTTACAAGGAAAACTGCTGTCTAATCCATCATTTTATATCTACCCAACTTGTTTCAATGGTGATTTGTGAAGGTTGAAATAATCAGTGTCCAACTTTGAACAGGAAATCAGTTTCTATCTCCTGAACTGTTTAAATATCACCATGCAGCTATCCCTTTCATTGATGCTATTGGGAGATCTCTCCAAAACCAAGGATTTTCCTTCAAATGACATTAAACATCTTGCCTTGAGAATATTTGGTGCTTGCAGTGTTTTTTTTTTTTTTTTTCTGATACCTCCAGCACTCACCACATGTAAGTTGACTTTGCTGGCCTTTTGTTTATGTAAAAGAGATTTGCCAAGAACAAAAATGAACATACAAAAATTCAATATGGTATGGAGACCTTTTCTAGAATCCCCTTCTGAACTGCTGAAGAAGACAGGAATCTGATTTTGTCTATGTTGTTTGGGAATTATCATCAAATATCATTTTGCTCTCTGACCTGTCTGTGGGCCAATCATGCTTGTCTTATGCAAGGTAATAATGTCCTTGACCTCAGTGGGACTATTTAAATTAGATAGGTGAGCAGAATTTGGCCCTAAGTATGTTATTTTGTGCTGGAGTTGGTAAGAGCTAAAGGGTGGTTTTATTTTTTTTCCTCTTTTTTCTCTTCTATGCATGTGTTTATAAGCGAAGGCTTGGGGAGTATAGAATAAATAAATAAATAATAAAAAGGTTATGGCTTGCTGTTGATAGAGGCAGAAGCTGTTACTGGGTTACCTGTGGTTTGTACACTATCATGGTGATATTTTGCTACATTGTGCTTATGTCTCTCTTTATTAATTGTTGTTCTTTGTCCATTGGTTTTAATGTTTCTGGACTAAAATTAGTATATAATATGTTTAATAGGTACTGGTGTATGAATTTGTCTATCAAGGGAAAACACACACTTTCTCCTGAGTTCTTAAAAGTAGAGATTTTAAATGCCTGACCACAATGGCCCACAATATACTTTCACTGAGTACAATGAGCAAACACAGATATAAACGGGGGAAGATCATGGACCTATGTCTTTTCGTTCTAGATGATTGAGGGTGTTTAGAGGGGAGAATGAGAATGGTAAAATTATCCAAACAGTAGAATTTGCAACAATTCTTCATAGCATGACTCAGGCTAATATCCTGAACCTGTATTCTCACTGTAATGATTTTGACAATGAGACTAAGTAATTGTACATGAAACATCCTCACAACAATTATTATAACAGAAAGCAACACTAGCTGTCTGACATTTGCAGATGGGGAAATTTTTCTCTCTCTCAGCTCACAGTCATTCAAATGTTAGAACATTTTGCTTCTCCTACTTGCTGCACTTCATAGAAAAGACCCATCCTCTGTGCAATCCAAAGCTGTTATCCCACTGTAATAGTGGCTCTTTTTAACACTGTAACATATTGGAAATGAGAAAGGGACATTGTTTAATTTCTTCCTAGCATTTCCAGTATGATTTGGATGAAAAGTTTCAATATAGAAAAATATTTTTTCCTTCCAGACAATTTGAAACATTAAAAAAAAAAAAAAAAAAAACAACCCAAGGCTGGAGGTTGATATTTCTGTAGGCTAGGTAAAACAGCAGGAGCTACTATAATACAGTGAGAAGGATTCAATAAATCGGAGGGCTGTTACAGCAGCAATGGGGTACTTTCAACATAATTCCCATTTCTTCAGGAGCAATTTTGTAATTTAAAGTATTTATTTATAAAGTAACTGGAAGAAAGGAGTAAAAGTGGTAGTATGTTCAGTTCTTAACTAGAATCATAATCTAGTTCAATTCATGGTGCAACAGCTACAGTAGTATGTGAAAAACATGAGATAATAACAGAATCTCAGCTAAGAATACAGAACATCTTGAAATTCTGTTTTCATCCATCTTGTAAATGAACAGAAACTTTAATCAAGGAAAAGCTTATGATGGGAATCACTAGCAGCAACAAATACCATCTTATGAACATTGCATAAAGTGGATCTTACTTGTCACAAATCAGATTTGTTTTGTTCTGCTGATAATATGAAAATGAATCCAACAACAGAACTTCCTGGAGCCACTGATGTGTTTAGCATTTGTTTGTTCTAATATCTTTTTAATGGCAATTTCCCCCATATATGGATTTGGAGGTTACTTTAATTATGTTAACTATCAGTTAAATCATTTAGGCTATTTTCAAAATTTCTGCTTATAAAAGAATAACTGTTAGAGCAGGTTAGAGAAATTTTGACCGAACCGTATTCTGTCAGAATATGTGGATCTGTCCAAATGAAAATGCTTCACGAACTCAAGTGGATTTTGGTAGGAATACTTTTTGGAAAAAAGGGAAAAAATTCCAACAATGTCAAAATACCCCATTTTGGCACTTTGGGAAGGAAACACTTGTTTTGAAAAGACTTTTCATTTCAAATTGTTTTTATTTTGTATTATGTTATGTAATACAAATAAAGGCAAAATCAAAACAAAACATTTTGATTTTTCCCAGTGAAACATTATGAACCATCCAGAATTAATTTGGGGGGAGAATTTTCCTTCATGGAGAACACTGCAATTTTCGGTTTTCACTCACATTTGGAATGAAGCCAGATTTTGAAATCTCAAAATCCTTCACGAAACAGAATTTCCATCCTCTACACAGCTCTAATAATCATATCGTGGGTTAAATGAACTCCAAGACTAAAGGCTAAGGTGTTGACAGCAAATTAACAGTGAGGCCTTTGGGAAGAGTGACTGGATTCTGAAAGGCAATGACTGCCTGGCGTAAGGTGCTGAGCATCTTCAGCTCCAGGGGGAGTCAGTGGGAACTGAGGAGGTTAAAACCTTGGAAATAAGGTCCCATAGTTATTACTCAGTTTACAGAAAGCTTGATCCCGGTTAATAAGATGTATGGAAAATGTAATTCAAAAATAGGTGCTACCCAAGGCTGGGGCGCAATATCTCCAAAACAGTGATTTTTTTCCCCCCTCTGGTGGTGTGGAGTGAGCAATGGAGAGAGGGAACGAATGAAACCTGTATGAAGCAACAAATTAAAGGTTACATTTCTGTTATGTGAACATACCATTAATTTCACAAAATTCCAAGTATTATTCTTTACTGTAATTGGGCCAGATCATGGCTCATCCTGGCATGGCTCACTCTGGGCACTGGCACAAGGTAGTACAGTGCCTGGAAGGTGTGTGTCTGTGTGTTTTGGGGTGAGGAGGGCTTACTTTCTTGTGCTAGTGTGCCATACCATTCCCTGCACGCACAGGGCAGCTGGCTCTCCAGAGCTGTTATGTGCCCCCTCCATACCAATTGGATTGGAGGAACAGGAGGGGACAGAGCCTTGAGTCTGCCCCTGCAACATGCCCTGGTTATGTTGGTGTATTAGAAAGCATCCTCCCTCCCTTGTGCTCTGGGGGGATCAGGATATTGTGACTCTCCTCCTTGGCTCTGGGTTAGATTGTTGATCTATTGATCCTATTCTTTTAAAGGGATTTTAATGGTTCTGTGGGGTCATTGTCTAGGCATTTTGGGTTCCAATTTAATTTCACTGTATCACCAAAAATTACCGGATCAGCAATGTTTCTAAGCACGCAGACTGGTTAAAGCTACCCCGTCAAATGAGCTAATTATACTGCAAGCTCATCCAATTTCAACATTTCACACTTTTTAAAAGACTGGGTAAAATCTCATCTACTATGTCAGTTTCTAAACACCACAGTCATTAAATCCACTAATAAGCTTGGATGAAAATGTGACTAAAATAATTTTTAAAAGGGAAATCCCCCCAAAAGAGAAATGAGCTCATTCTCTGCAGTACGCATGTATTCTAGTTTCACAGTGTAATACTGCCAGCAGTGACTCAAGAGCGTCAGTACCAACCTGAGGGCAGACTGTTGGAAAGAGGGCACAAGCCCCAAATTGGTTGTGAGTTCTATATTTAGATTTCGCCAACCGATTATGAGGTGTAAACTTCTCAGGTGCTATAATAGCCTTAACCTGGAGTCCACTTAGGGCAGAGTGGGCAAACTACGGCCCACGGACCACATCCGGCGCACGGGACCATCCCCGCCGTGAGCTCAGGGGGGCGGGCAGGAAGGCTAGCCCCCAGCCCTTCCCCTTCTGTTCCCCCTCCCCCACAGCCTCAGCGTGCCACCAGCACTCTGGGCCGCCGCTCCTGCCGGGCAGCATGGGCGGTGTGACTGGCTCCGGCCATGCGGCGGGGCTGCGAGCTCCTGCTGCTCTGAGCAGCATGGTAAGGGGGGTTGGATAAGGGGCAGGGAGTCCTGGGGGGCAGGGGGACAGGGAGCAGGAGGCGGTTGGATGGGGCAGAGGTTTGGGGGGGGCAGTCAAGGGACAGGGAACAGGGGGAGTTGGATAGGTGTGGGAGTCCTGGGGGGGCTGTCTGGGGGTGGGGGTGTGGATAGGGGTCAGGGCAGTCAGGGGACAGGGAACGGGAGGGGTTGGATGGGGGTGAGGTCCTGGGGGGCAGTTAGAGGTGGGGGGGTCCAGGGAGGGGGCGGTCAGGGGACAAGAAGCAGCAGGGTTGGATGGGTCAGTGGTTCTTAGAGGGTCAGTCAGGGCACGGGAAGTGGGAGGGGGCGGATACAGGGGCGGGGGCCAGGCTGTTTGGGGAGGCAGAGCCTTCCCTACCCAGCCCTCCATACAGTTTCGCAATGCTGATGTGGCCCTCGGGCCAAAAAGTTTGTCCACCCCTGGCTTAGGTAGTCAGATCTATATCACCAGCCAACTGAGCATACCTTTGTGATAGATGATCCCATTCACCAAGAATCACAGCGATATTGAGGTTATTCCCAGTCACAAAGGATGACTCAGTTATCCCAGGTCAATTACTCCTCAGATCTCATGCCAAAGACAATGCTTGTAGCCAATCCTGTAATAAACTATTTAAAGGTTTATTAAATAGGAAAAGGAAATGAGAGTCTTATTTACAAAGTTAAAGCAGGTTATCATATATGCACAAATAACTTTCAAAACTTAATAGAAGCTTCTATAATCAGCAAGCTGAGTATGTCCTTTTTGGCTAACTCAGGCTAAGTACCTGGGGATCTCTTGATTATGCCTAGAATAACCTTGCCACCCAGAGTCCAAGCCGCATAGAGATAATCAGTTCCCTCTTGTTAAGGGTTTTATTCCCCTCCTGCCTTGTGCTCTGAGCTGCAAACTCAGCTGATGGGAGGAGTCCACTTGTATTACTTATCTGCACTGGGAGGAGGACAGAACAACAAAAGTCTTTTGTCCTCTTGTTGACAGTATTAGGGAAATTCTATTTGCAGTGTTGCACAATAATCTGTCAGGTATCAATAGACCTTTCCTTTTGGGAAGTGTGTAACACTTTCTGTTGAAAGATCAGCCCTTTATGCCAGGGGTGGGCAAACTTTTTGGGCCAAGGGCCACATCTGGGTGGGGAAATTGTATGCAGGGCTGGGGCAGGGGGTTGGGGTGCAGGAGGGAGTGCGGGGTGTGGGAGGGCGTGTGGTGTGCAGGAACAGGCTCAGGGCAAGGGATTGGGGCAGAGGAGGGGTGCGGGGTGTAAGAGGGGGCTCAGGGAAGGGGGTTGGGGTGCAGGAGAGGTGTGGACTGCGAGAGGGAGCTCTGGGCAGGAGTGTGGGGTGCGGCAGATGGCTCAGGGAAGGGGGTTTGGGTGCATGGGGGTGCAGGGTGCAGCAGGGGGCTCAGGACAGGGAGTTGGGGGCCGGAGTGCAGGAGGGGTTCGGGTCCCGGCCCGGCGCTGCTTATCTAAAGTGGCTCCAGGGTGGCAGCAGAGTGCACCGGTGCCAGGGCAGGCTCTCTACATGCCTCCCGTGGCCCCATGCCGTGCCGCTCTGGGAAGCAGCTGGCACCACGTCCCTGCATGGCCCCGGGGGGAGGTGGGTGCATAGGGCTCCGTGCGCTGCCCTTGCCACGCCTCCAGGTACCTCTCCCAAAGCTCCCCTTGGCCGTGGTTCCCTGTTCCCAGCCAATGGGAGCTGTGGGGGGCAGTGCCTGGAGGCAAGGGCAACACACGGAGCCCTGTACCGCCTCCCCTCAGCCGCAGGGACATGGTCTGGCCGCTTCTGAGAGTGGAGTGGGGTATGCGGCACCCCGGAGGGCAATCCCGCGGGCTGGATCCAAAGCTCTGAGGGGCCGGATCTGGCCTGTGGGCCTTAGTTTGCCCACCCCTGCTTTATGTTAATTAATGTGGCTCTCCTGTGTGGCGATCTACACAGTCAGAGGCTAACAGTACAACTGCTCAAATATTACCTTACAACATAGGATACAGATGTTATAAGTGAGATTAATGCATGCAGGAACTCACAAGCATTCAATAAAGTTTAAACACATTCTTATCATTCTAATACCTGTTTTAACAATATTAACACACAGATGAGCCAGACTGATTCTGGCTATGCATTTGTCAGTGTTTAACTGAGATATGGGGGCCTTGGCCATGAGCTGGCACCTGGTCTGCCTGTGTCACACAGAGAATCCATATGTATTTATTCTCCTGCTTCATCAAAACAACCTGAGAGAAGAGCCCTAACCTGTACCACAGTGCCAATTACTTCTGGAGTGCTAATATGGAGATACACCTACACCTTCAGGAACATAGTCTGTGGGCTTGTCTACACAGGAAAATTGACCATAGTAGCTATTGCATTAGCATGGACTAGTTGGGGACACAATGTAGTTAGTCAGTCCATAGCAATAATCACAACTTGCCATCTGGCTAGCCATTCTCGCATTGTCAGCTGAGGCTCAGAAAGATTTACAGCCAAATTTTCAAAAGTGGCCACTAATTTTGAGTGCCCAACTTGAGATACCTTAAGTATGTCTCAAGTTAGGCATCCGAAAAATTGAAGCACATAAAATTAGTGGGCACTTTTCAAAATATTGACCTAGGTAATTTGGGTGTGGCTGGTTTTATTATTATTTGTATTGCAATAGCCTATAGCCTGGTTGACTAGATGTAGGACTGAGCATCATAAGATCTGTGATTTAATCATAGTTCTGACAACTTGCTTAAGCTCTCTGCACCTCAGTCTTCTGTCTGTAAAGCGGGACAGAAATATTTCTCCAGGTGAAATCTGAAAACATACAGGGTTAAGATGTCCAAAACCAACCACACTGTAGATAAGTATTTTAGCCCCAGGTGTCAAGATGAGGTAGAGCCTGAGAGGCACTGCGCTGTAATGAATTAGGCCTAGCTTTAAGACAGTAGCAGCTACCCTATCTGTGAAATCAGAATTAAACCTGCTCCATTATAAAATACCTTTTGTAAAGTGCAAAGGATTATTAAGGCCCATCCATGGCAGAATCCCCTGACTGATTGCCCTGTAGTCTAGACAACATGGCATTCAGGCACCTTTCCTCCAGCAGCTGAGATTTCCCAGACTTCACTCTGAGTAATTTTCTTGCTCTTGAAATTTGACAAAAATTCATAATTTTGCAGTGCAGAATCATGGAAATGAATTGGCAAAAACATTTGCACTATTTTTTCTGTACTAGGTTCCAACCATCTCTTTGTCGCTGCTTACAGAAACACTGTTGTGCCTGTGCATTTGCTTGATTTAAGGCAGTTTAGAAATAGGGTTTCATGGAAGAGAGTGCTGGAGTATAACAGAATGTTAAGAAGCCTTTAGTTTTTTGCTTACTACTCTTTCCCTTTTGCTTCCATCTTTTCTTCCTTTGTGCAATAACAGTGGTGCAAATTGTAGATGGGGCCACAGGGGGTAACACTCCAAGAAGTCATCGTCAAGGAATGGTTTGGTATCAAACACTAGAAAAATACTTTTTCATGTAGAGATGGGCTGTTTTGATTCAACAGCAATTTGGGCAATGGAAAGTATTCTTTTCTTTCATTAATCAGGCGCTCTGGCTAAGACAATATACTGTATCAATCTTATGTTTTCAAAATTAAATGTCACTTTCTCACTAAAAATGTAAGATGTACACATTCGCAGCTGCAAAACTGCTGGTAGTTTGTCTGGTGGCTCTCCAGCTGAAATAATACTCTGAAATAGAGCAAGCCAACTGTTTCTCTGGTGAACTTTCTTCTACTGTTTGCAAATCAAACTGAAATCCAAACAACTGGAGGTCAGCCCATATCAAATCCAGACAGTTTTAGGGACCTGTTCTGATCTTTTGTACTCTCTTTTCCCTGTGAATCTTTTACAAGGACTATTCATGCTGTCTCAGTTTTTGGCCATTGGACACTGACTTGGTAGGTCAGAACTGTGTCTAGGCATTCTGCCTCACTGTTGAAAGCAGCCTACAGTCCTCCATGTCATGAACAGTTATTAAGGGCCAGATTCATTTCTGCACCACTGCTAGGGCTTGGTGCAGGGAGTGAAGGGATGCAGCTTGCATGGCACTCCAGCCTCCAGCCCCCGTACCTCTGCTGCTGTAATTTGACCCCAGTATGCAGATGGGAGAATTGGATGGTAGAGCAGAAGGGAGAGGGTGAGGATCATGAAGAGATTCCAATTAGTTATCATGCAGGAAAAGAAGCCCAGTGTACGTGTAAATGTTCCTCTCTCTGACATGCAGAAATGCTTACATTGAGCAGTTTTGAGCAGTGTTTGAGATCTCAGAGGATAGGGGTGAGGAGCTGACTCTTCTCTACTTGGCAATTTATGGAGCCATTTATACATGTGTAAAACTGGTATGAAACACTACTAAATAAAAATGATAGTGTTTTACACCCAGCTTGCACCGGTGTAAGTTATTATACAAGGCAATGCAGAATTAGGCCCTAAATCTCAGTCTCCTACTCCTGCGTGCAGCTGAACTCAGCAACTTTACTTCTTATTCTACACTACTTTCTCCTTGGAGATAGAGGGAAGTTAGGGAGCAGGTGAATACAGGGAAAATGACAACAGCACCGTAATTCTTGGAGGAACCTTGCTACCATACAGCAGTGAGAAGCAGCTGTAGATCCCATTTCATCACAGAAATAAGGATCTAAAGCGTTTGTAAACTACAGGAGAAGCAGCGTTTTCTCCTTGGGAAATGGAAACTTTTTTTGGACTTTGTCAAGTTACTGGATCATTTGAGCTTCTACGGGGTTCACGGCTGAAGGTTCTAATTGTGACTTTGTTTTGAAGTTCATAAGTTTTTCATTCAATTATTTTGATCATTCCCTGTATGGTACTATAACATTTATGGGAATAATACTTGTAAATTCCCTTGAGATTAGCCCAAGCCTATGCAGAAAAGTCCGTATTATGTTTCAAAGGCTTTGCACTCACATAAATTATTAATGTTTTTAAACAACTTGGTCTGGAGAAGGAAAACAGAATATGCAGGAATGAGCAAAGTTCTGTGAAATTCAGCGGTTTTACCATAGTGCATGAGTGGGTGTGAAATTTTCATGTGGATTCAGTTTGCATAGGATTCACAAGTTTTGTTTGACACTGATGGAGCCAAAAGCTGAAAGCAAAACAGAATTGAAATGTTCATATTTATGTGGTTTCACCCTGAAACCGTAGAGAGTCTCATGATCTTGATGTGAAACAAAATCAGGCTAGGTTTCCCCCAAACCTGTTACAAATTCACAGAAAAGTTTCATTAACCTTATTGAACCTATGCTGAGATTTGAATTTGTAACAAAATCCCCAGCATTGCAATATTTCAGGGTTTGAAATGAAAGTTTTGCACTCCATTAGTATGAAGATTCTGAGATGTTGCATGAATGTAGCATTTTGTATGAGTTAACAAATAATTTGAACCCTCATCATTCTTAAATTCAATTTGTTTTATTTTTTTAATAATTTAACAATAAATTTAATACTTTGTTTTATTATTTAATTTGAAAAATAAGTTAACCTAAATGTATAACTCTGTTGGACAGTAAAAACCACGGCCTTAACAGAGATACTGGTTTTATGGCTGATTACAAAAATTTGTGACACATCTTGCTGCCTACTACCCTCCTTTGTCCTACAACTGAAGAGGTGTTAAGTGCCCACTTCATTTTAAGGGGTCTCCTTTAACATGCATGAACCACTTATGTTTAACAATTGGTCCCACCTTGGACCAATTGGACATTCTGGTTACTTCCCCAGACCTGAGAAAGAGCTCAGTGAATCTTAAAAGCATGTCCCTTCCAACAACAGAAGTTGTCTCTCCAGCCT